GCTCTAAAATAATCCCGCGCATCCCGCGCGGAATCACGCGCGGGATCACGCGCGGATCACGCGCGTGCCCATCTCTAGTTATCGTGTTCCATTACACATGATCTCTGCGCCATATTGTGTCATGTGAAGATGGATTTTTGTGTGTAACGGTTACAAAAAGCTTCCTTTTTAGTGTATATAATTTCTACAATGTTAAAGATTTTCGTAGAACGCTCTGGAAGCATGGTTTCGAAAATCAATAATTAGGAAACAATGATAGCGATAATATCCAGATGAGTCCCGAATCGGCAAGAAATTATAAACTATGGTACGCACATACGTACTAACAGCTATAGAACTTAGTCTGCGAAATCTATTTAAGTACGCACTTACTGAACCTGCATCTCAAAATCAAGTTCAAAGCGAATAATAAAATTACAAAACTAGAACAAAAACACAAAAACAAATTTAATTGCTTTAAAAAAAAAACTACTACTGTATTAAAAAATGTCGTTATACTGGCCTGATCATAAATTTGAAAATTCATTATTTCGCACTAATCGATTTCCACCTCTTGATTTTCATGAAAGTGAAAAAGAATATATTGTGAACGCCGAATTACCGGTATATATTCTATGATTCATATATAGTATTTTTTATTTATTTTTTTTTATAACTTTAGAATTACATATATTTAACTAACTTATGTATTGTAAATAGGGTATCACCAAAGAACAAGTCAATGTTGATGTTCGTGAAGACACACTTGTTATTTCTGGCGAAACCAAAAAAGATGAAAAATATGAAAAAGGAAATACACACATTCAAGAACGTCGTTATGGAAGTTTCACTCGTGCTATCACCCTTCCTTGTAACGTTAAAGTTACTGATATATCTGCTAAATTTGAAAATGGTATTCTTGAAGTGAAACTTCCAAAGGATGAAAGTGAGAAGCCATCTGGAAGAAAAATTGAAATTCAATAATTGTTTTTTTAAATAATCAAATTTCTTTTATAGATAATTTCATTTGTGTATAATTAACTGTGTATAAATATAATTTACTTTATACTTCACTACAGTATCGTAGTTACAGTGTATTCTTTTTTCTTTTATACCTAAATAAAGAATTGTCTCTATTTAACAAATAATTGTGTTATAAATAGCGTGATTTAACGCGACTTAGTTGTTTAATAAACACGTACAGTACCTTAACATTTTAAACAAAAAAAGCTATTTGTATACATGAAAACAAAATTCTATTTTCTATCTCCATAACATGCTTATTAACTCAGTCCCAATGCGCGTTATCTCTATGTAATAATACATGTTAAATTGCAGTTATAATGTTAACTAATATTATTCAAAAACCAAGGCAGGTTTTTTCCAATAAATTTATATTTAGAGCTATAATTTAATTTCACTATTGGCTTCCTTCAAAGTATTGCCGTTAAATAAACGAATTTTTTTGACTTGTATATAAACCAATGAAGGGGCATAATCATTTTTAATAAAAAATAAAATTTATATCTGATATACAATGTTACCGTTAACTCTAACGTGCTTTATACGCTACGTTGAGTGAACCAAAACCTTTGAGTCTAATTAAATCACTCTTAGTTTTAACCTTTTAAAATTCTAAGATTCAAATTCTTTAAAATTTGAAATTTTCATAATATATAAGTTATATATAAAAAGCTTTATTAGCATCTTATTTATAATAAATTAAAATAAAGTAAATTTCATTGTTTGTATTGTAATCATTGCTTTTTTCTGTATTCATATTAATTGATACATCACTCACTAAATTCCAGTTTATTATAAAATTTACTATATAATCATTTTCAACCATGTTTGTATAACTATACTATATATTTAATATTAGTGTTGCCTTTTACTATATAGTCAAATCTTCAAACAAGTCAAAGAATTTATTTAATTATAATAATAATAAATTAATCAAAAGATAATAAATTAATCAATAGTTTGATACTGAAATTCTTTAGATTATACTGTAACTCAATTATATTAAAAATTACTGCACATAATTATTAAAGCAAGAATAATTTTATCATAAATAATTATTCTTCAAAGATAATAGACATCAAAAAATACACATTATGCAACTACCATTTAGGTAACTATCTCGAAACTCTCCAAAAATGCAATTAATTCAATTAATTCCAACATCTCACTATCTAAACTTTGATATACATCGCTTTAAGTGCTGCAGAAATACTTGGCACTTCTACATAAGCTAAATCAGGTGGGATATAAGATGCAGGGGTTCCATTCAATTTTTTATTTGTAGATTTCATATTGATCATGTGTTTTTTAGAACTATTATAATGCCGAGAAACATCTTTTTGATTGTAAGACGTTTTAGTTTGAGAATACTTGGTGGGAGGACGACGGACGGTACCATTATAGTTTTTAGTGATTATCCCCTTGATAGAATTAGTTTTTACAGTGTGATTGATCGAAGAAGCTTCATCGTCTTTTCTAATCGCTATTTTCTTATTAGTTTTAACCATCTTGCCATTACAAGTCTTTTCGTGTGTAGTATTATAATGCATCATACGTTTTCGACTTGACGACATTAGTTTGATAGTATCTTGTGTTTCATCAATCTCATTAGAATCATGATCTTCATGAATACCTCCATCAGTTTCATCTTCAGCGTTCGAATCGTCAATTACTTTAATCTTGACCTTTTTTCTTCCAATTAAATCAATAAGTTGATGTTCACCATCAAGACTTTGATGAAATTCAAATCCTTGTTCTCTCAACAAATAGATTAACGTATCAATATAAGCTGCCTTTTTGGCAACCTCATGAAGTGGGTTTAATGATTCTCTTAATCCCTCATATTTTTCTCGTAAACCCGCTACAACTGGTGAAGGACAAATTTCAGATCTCAAAGGAGTTCTCGTACCAAGAAATTTATAAGTTGGTTTTTGCACATACGGTTCTATATCCGAGTCTGACATTAAGGATTATTTTCTGTACGAAAAAGAAAAATATATAGTAAATTTTTAATAAGCAAAGAAAACAGCGAGAATGATTTAAAATAACGTGTTTAAAATAGTTACTGATCGTTAATGCCATCGAGATAAATAATGATTAGTACTTACGTATTTTTAGTTAGTCTGGATACACTTTCTAAAAAAAAAAAAAAGTTTGTAGTAGATGTAAATATAAATGTGAATTATTTATTTTCCCTGAAGTTAAATACAATGACTACGCTTTTGTGACACAATATTAATAATATACTAATACGTAATTTTATATTCGTATGTAGATGATATCATATCGAAAAGGAACATACCGGTAATAAGATTTTACTTTTTTTAATATTATGTATACAGTATAACTGGCTCTACCACAAAATCCCGAAAGCCATTTTTTCGAAAGAACATAATACCGACTAAATTGGCCAGAATTATAATTAATGTCGGCTGAATTTGTCGGTATTAAGTCCTTCCAGGATTCTGTCTTTCGGGATTCTGTGGTAAAACCAGTATAACTGCGTTGAATTTTAAGTTCATAATTATTTTGATACCGTATTTAGATAGTACGCTACGAACAAACATATCTGACATATGAAATTATATATAATTGACGCACTCTAACCTGGGAAGATTATCAAAATCAGTCGATATGCTCTTTTAATATACGTAACCAGAGACTTTTGACTATAATAATGATTATGTAATGCAACATGAAGTTAACTAACAAATAAAACAAACCTGTTGTTCACTATTTTAGTAATTAAAAATTTATTAAATTCCCCTAGAACAAATTGAAAGGATAATGCAAATTAAGATAGCAAGAACTTCAAAAATTCAAAAACATTAATTTTAAAAATTAAAAAGCGTTTTTTTACATATTAAGATGAATATGTTGTATATGTAAGTACAGAATTTAATATATTAGTGCGAATTTAATATATTAGTGCGAATTTAATATATTTGTGCTAGCTTTTAGTAAGTCATTATGCTTAAAGCAGCAGTCAATATTTAATATTAAAATTTTTAACGTTATCGAATTTATTAAAAAAAACGCGAATTTCCATTTATGTGATTTTCCAACATCGTTCGCGTTTACTTAAGATGTAGCTAGTAAATCGACCTTTTGATTTTAACAAAAAAATTTTCCTCATTCACTTTGCTACACTATAGCCCCTTCTAACTCTAACATACACCCAAATTAATTTTTTTGTCCGAAGACTATTGATGCCTGTAAATCACGTGACTGGAAAATCAATCCTATGCCCTGTCAATTTCTTAGAAGTAGAGCTCTTGCCTGGATCGGGTCAGTCAATCCGTACGGGTTAACTTCTTTGACGAATCACGGGTTTCGAGACACGGAATTCAGAAGGGTATCGGGTTTTATTTATTTATTTATTTATTTTTATCTTTATCAGTTATTTATTTTTGTAAGGATGAATCATCCGTTGAATTGGGGCTGGTAATTGTAGTAAATATTTGGAACAAAAATTGTAGTAAATGTTTAGAATAATCATTGTAGCAAATATTTGGGACGATAACTATGAGTAATGTTTAGAGAAAGTTTTTCCCAACACGGGTTGTGAAGCATTGCCGGGAAAGCCTTACCAAAGCTCAAAAGAAATTAGAAGTCTTCGCGCAGTAAATTATAGGACAGGAAAATGTATTTAAAAACCTCATTTTTTCGTTAATAAAATTCCCTCAGACTTCGATGTCTTTAATGAATTAAAAAATAAGAATCGGATTCTCAATGATTAAATATAGTTTTATTATTAAATCGTATTGTTATTGTTAAAGAACCGAATTGATATTATTATAACACCCGAATTATTCATATTTACTGGCTATAAAACTAGCTAGAATATTCTAATTGTTATCCTTACTCACCCACGATCACCGTATTATTACTTACTTGCATACCCTTAAAGTGTCCGCATTGCATATTGCATTCCTTAAATTAATCCTAAAGTTCGATCGTACAATCCCCGATCAGGGACGATGATTTGCTGTGTTTCACAGAACACCGCAGAATTTTTCTTAAACACAGCAAACCACATTAAATCACAGAATTTGTCTTCAACCACACGTAGAATTTAACCTTAACGACCGCAGAAAATCATCGTCCCTGTTCCCGATTCGGTCTGATAGACTAATTACCCCGATTCCGATCTACATATTTCTTACACGTGATTTTAGAAGAAAGAAGATATTTATATCCCTTCACGTTTACTAAATCACCATTCGCTCTCCCAAACAATAGTAACAGTAATTATTTTATGATGTAATAATATTTTGGTCTGGATTCAAAAATAACTACCCATTGATAAAGTCTAGTACTTCTGACGTAGAAATACTCGAATTACGAGCAAGGTTGAGAAATTTTTCGATGCAAAATTCGATTCAAGTATTTGTTATATGTTAAAATACAGGGCACAACATAAAAATTATAAAAATTCTACTCTTTAAACTCTCGAGAATAACCTACATAGCTATTGACCCAAGTAATGGCTCTAAATAAGAATCGCTACATCAACTTTATGTAAGTGAACTAAAATTTTTATGATATTCCTTATGAACAGTTAACCCGATCATGACTCGGGTAATAGCTCTACCATTTGGTAGTGATTTCCTAGCAAATGACTCATTTGTGCATTTTTAACTTACAGTATTACACAGATGGGTCATTTGCTAGGAAAATCATTATTTAGAAAGTACCAAGTGGTGATTTTCCTATCAAATGACCCAGATAGTATTATAAGCTGACTAGGTTTAGGTAGTGTTTACTAAACGATCTTATTAGCCGAAACATGGTCGCAATTATCTATTATCATTTGAGTCAAAAAAAAGTGACCATCGATTTTTCATAAAGCTGCGTGGTTAAAACCACTATTAATAGAGTAACCTATTTCTTATTTATTATATAATATGAATCTTAGGTTGCTAGAAACTCTTACAACAAATAATAAACGCACAAGAAAC